TCATGGTCAGAATACACTTTGAAGTGCCTCCCAAGCAGATAGTGCTTCCAATGGTCTAAAGCCTGCCTGAGAGCGTAGAGTTCTCTCTCGTACGTGGAGGTAGCGACCTTCTCACAGGGCATCCTCGCTGACATGAACTCTACGGGTCTATAACCATTGCCGTCGTCTTGCTGCAACACGGCGCCTATCCCATACTGACTCGCGTCCGTGTTTTTTGCTGGTGTACGTCTTCTTCTCCTTCTTCTTCTTCTTCTTTCTCTGTTCTGTAGTTTCTATCTCTTTGCAAGTACTTTCGTTTCTTTCGCAATTGGGTGGCATCGTCTTTCATTGTGAATTTGCACTTTGGGAATGACCAGGATCGTATTAGAAGGATCCCCAAAAAAAAACAACTAACTTCAGTCCAGGACTGCGCTTGGCCTGACCAGTCAGAATCCAACCTTACCTTCCATTTCGGTGGTGGGTCACGCAGGGGTGTTTGGGGGATATAAAGTTACTCTAAGCAGTGACTAGAGGGCTTTAAAAGGGTATATGATCGTATATCTTACCTCATATTTCCTCATTTATTTTTATCTTAAATAATGAGTTTAGAGGGGCCCCTCAGCCATAATTTGCTTGTACTGCAATTTTACACGTCTTTTTTCATGGCAACCGTGGACCCGGACCTGGACATGTCTGGACCGAGGCCCAGGCATTTGTCTGGACTGGTCCAGATGTTCGGTAATCCGGACAGGCACCGGACAACCGGACAGGACTGGACCAGTACACTAGACACAAAAGTGTCCGGACCAGAAAAAAAAAAAAAAAAAAAGAATTAGTAATAATTATTAATTTCCTGCAATAAATAGTACTAAACTTAGTACATTTGTAATAAGGAGTACTGAACAAAAATGAAGTCAGTTTAACGAACACGATCACTGGCAGTTGTGCAATAACCCACGTTGTATGCCTCGTGGAAAGTCCGAGGGCTACAGGCTGCACTTAGACCCAGCCCGAAGGGGGGAAAAACACCCCACGTAAAGATTCAGGGCTGGACGAGATACAGTTGACTAAGTCAACTGTCGGACTATCCAACAATCAAAGTCAAAGTGTACCCAGCCCAGGCCGCCGGTCAGACACACACATTTGTTTGTATGCAGGTACCCAGACAGCATCAGGTCCAAAGGGAAGTCTGCAACTGTACACAATCCAAGCCCTCGGCTGTGAGTCAATCTGGGCAACTGTGAGTCAATCTGGACGACTGCGGGTAAGGGCTGGTCTTCAGGAGGTCGACATTCAGTCTTTTAGTCTTGCTATGCTGCTTGAACGCTGGCTCGACTCTGACTGGTCATTGGCATTGATGGTGGCACGACACTGGCGAGACGCTGGCTGTGCGCAGGCACTGTGGACGACGACGCAGGATGTGAGCAGCATGCTGGCGCTTTCTGTATTGTGCGCCAGGCATTGCTGACATGGCGCTGCCACCTGTCCTCAAGGCTGATGTGGCGCAGGCCACTTGTCTACATTGCTGATGTGGGCAGGCCATTTGTTTACATCTGATGTGCCGCTCCCACCTGTCTCTACTGCTGACGTGGCATTGGCCACGCTGTCTACATGAGGTGACTGGTTGTGATGAGGAGGGAGATCGGGATCTGTGGATGACCAAGATCGGGTGCTCACCTGAGGTTGACGTCGTCACTGTATTCTGCTGTTGTCTTCATGGTCTTCACGAGATAAGAGTGACATGTGGCACTTCTGTGTGATCAGAACTTATGAGACTTGCTACTATAATTGATTGATGACGTGGAGGGAGAAGAAGCCCAGAGGAGTGGGAATGGTTGGGTTATTATCGTGTGGTCTTTGATCATCTCTTCCATCTTCTCCTTTGTCTATCCTCCCTCCACTCTCTTCGTGTATTGGTAACAAAATATTGTTGCAGATATCACTTCATGTCAACTGGAGACTTTGTGCAGACTTTGAGACTACTTGTACTTGACGACTGATGCGTATCTTCCAGACCGGGGTTCATTACAATTTGGTATCAGAGCAAACTCCTTCATCGCAATCTATTGTCAGGTGCTGACATGGCACCCAGGTAAGTGGGAGGTGCGGCATGTGCAAAACGAAACGCGTTTATTAACGCGCGCTGTAAATACCGCAAGTCTAGACATTGAAGTATTGCATATGTGTGCAGCCTCCCTTGAAGATGATGACGTGGCTGCACTGAAGACTTGCCGCGAGAGCTTCATTGGCAACAGGCTGACGTGGTGCTGGTCAAGTGAGAGATCGGTATAATGTGTATTGCTTATGTGGGATGATGTGGTATTGTGGCAGGGCATGGTTTGACGTGGCACGCACCTGTGTTGCAATTGCATGTTGTTGAGGCGCTGCATACCTGGAGCGGCATACCAGTGTTGAGTGTGTTGTAGACATGCACTGCTGATGTGGCATCCCCCCCTCGTAGACCTTTCAGTCCTTGACGCTGATGTGGTAGACCTGCTGCGTTGGCATGCCAGGGGTGACACGTGGCATGCAGAATATGCTGCTGTAGTGGAAGTATTGAACGTGCACTTGTTTGCTGGCAGACGGTACAGCTTCACAACTTGCTTTAGTGTCGAGTGCTGGCCTTGCGATGGTTGCATTGCTTCTGCAGATGGAACAACCGAAAGAGGGAGGAAGCTAACCATTGATTGTGTTGTTGTGTTGGCTCTCTACTCACCTATTGATTGTCTGTGGTTGCTATGTATACTTACAAGTGTGTTGTTGTCTTGATCACACTGGCCGTGGCTGCGGTACCTGTACAATTGTTGTAGGACGTCATCACAAAGAACAAGCAGCAAAGTTAGAATATATAAATTAAATTGAGAACTCATTTATTTTTGTTTGATTGTTCTTGCTGTAAAAGTTGCATGTGCCGTGGAATTTATTTTTGTCTTCTTTTTTTTAATTTATTGTGTGGTAAATACACGTCAGGAAAATGAATTCTCTCTGGAAACGCTTGCGTGCCTCCAGCTTGACGCGGTTCATTCCTCTTCTTTTCTTCCCTATCCCTCTCATAGTCTATGCTGATGCCGAAGGGGGACAACTGAAGACCCGTGGTCAAGTCGATGCGAGAAGGCAAACTCTAAATGGCCTTTTTCGTCAGTTGCTTGGTGAGATACACGGCTCAGGTCCAGCAGCTGAACAGCATGTTCACAGACAGTTCAACCTGCGAGCTGCAGAGGATGAAATTGATGCCGCTGAAACCGCTGTTCAGATGATCTTATAAAGCAAGGGTGGATTGCTCTTGACCGGTATGTCGCCGAGCGAATGGAAAAGAAGGGCAAAAACGTAAGAAGAGGTAGAGGAAAGAAAGGAATTGACTGTATAAATAATGGAGGAAAATATCAGACAATTAGAAAAATCTCTAGAAAAAATCTCTAGAAGAAGAGAGAAAGAAAATTGAGGAATACTGGAGGAGAAAAGAAGAAAAAGAACAACAAGAGAAAATGTTAGAAGAAACGAGAGAACGATTCCACTTTGAGGAAGCTGAAACTGATCTTTCGTCTATATTGCAATCTATCATGGCTTACCTTGTTCATCTCGAGAGAAAGATAGACACTAACACCGTCTCATTAGACACTATGATGAGACTGATGAAAGGGAAGGATAAGGTGAGTGTTGAGGAGGAGACAAAGGGGGAAGCGGATAGGAAACCACCCCAAGAGAAACTCATGAAGGATGCAATGCGAAAGGTGACGCAAGAGAAACCCGGACTTTCAAAGAAAGAATATGAGGGATCGGTAGAGAAAAACGAAGAACCCACCGAAAAGAAAGAAGAACCGGTCAAAGAACCCGAAAAACCGAAGAAGGAAAAGGTCAAAATGAAGTTGCCATTCACATATAGCAACAAAAGGATGAAAACCTATTGTTGTGGATTGATGGAATCCAAACTTACAGTAGCACCGCTCCAGTTGAGCCTGAGAGCCAAGTAGCCTTTTCCACGTCGTGTTTAGGAGGAGTTGCTAAGGAGTGGGTCTTTTCTGAAGCCAACGCTGCTGGCTTTGAAGATGTAGGTGAGTGGGCTAAGACCTTGACATTGAGGCAGTTTCTCCAGAAAGTCAAGGCGAGATTCCCCGACAAGACCACAATTGACAAAGCTTTTGACGAACTCACTACAATAGGTCAGAACGTTGGACTTCTTTTGATGTCTTGTCGTGTGAAGTGATCCGTCTCACACGTTTTCTGCAGCTACCAGGATTGAACACGTGCCTTGCCCAAACCCATTCACGGACAGCTCGTGGCAAAGTCCAAGTCTGGTAAGTACAATTATCGGTAGTTTTGAGATCTTGCTTTCCAAAGAGAGCAAATGACTGCACATGTGAAAGGTACGTAGGCTTCGGTAGTTAAATCGAGACCGGTTGGTGGGTACGACAAGCGGGTCCTTTGGTGGCAAAAGCATCAGGACCATATGTTGTGTTTGATGATGAAATGGTAGAGAAATTACCCCTCGACGAGTTTGAAGGAGGAGTTAATGGCGATAATGAGTCTGGAAAGGGTGGCGTCATTGTCGTAATGGCCAACAAGGGAGGCTAGAGTCGGTGGAAGAAGAAGAGGAGGCCTCACTCGTTCCCTGAGCATCCCGGCATAGCGTTCGGGAAGCCGTGGGAGAAATGAATATGACACGTGAGGAATGGCAGACCAAGATGGACAATCGTCAGTGCCTCAAGTGTGGCACCGTGGGTCATGTGATAGTCTGGTGCCCACTTATCAGGAACCCAAGAGCGAGCAGTAGGAGTAGCATCTGCTCGTATTGAGTCGAAGGGTTTAGACGAAGACAAAGGTAAGGCGCCTACAACCCCTTTTAACCTTTCGACTCTCAAGGCAGAGGATGGCTCTTCTTCGACCCATCGTCCATAGCACCCTAACATTGTTCTTTGCTCTGTTTCACTGGACGATTCCCTTGACGAACTCGGTAATGAACTCATAGCACTTAGGAGTTCGTGGGCTAAGAAAGTTAAGTGTAAGGGTAAATTAATGATCGCAGATATTGAGATTGCGCACACGCGAGTAGGTGCCCTGTTAGATCCAGGATCGACGTTGTCTTATGTCTCAGAAAAGGCAATTTGTAAATTGCATCTGGGAATGAAGGTAAAAGATTTACCTCGACCTATCATGTCTATGTTGGCTGATAAGAGTGCGATCACTGTCTCTCAATACGTCGATCGTGTTAAATGGTATTTCAGGGCCAAGGAAGGTAAGGAGATCTTACATGAGATATCCTTCCTTATAGAGAAGAATCTGCCCTTTGACATGGTTCTAGGTATGGATTGGCACAAAGAAGCGGACCTAGAAGTCAAGTTCAAAGAGAAAATTGTCAAACTAAAGGACGAGAAGTCCAAAAATCGAGCAATAAAGTTATACTGTCTTTCTGCTGTATGAGTTACCCAACTTTTCGCTCGATGGTAGTAAAGAGGAAGTTGGATTAGGAGGTGATGATGATGCTTGTCAAATGAGTAGGTGAGTGTTCCTCGTCCTATCGACCTTCTATCGAAAAACTTCTCGACAAGTACAAGGATTTGCAAACTGAGCTGATCGGAATTACTGAGCGTGCTATCAAGCACACAATTGAGATTATTCCCGGAAACAAAATTCCCAAGGGTCCCATTTACCGAATGTCTCTCAGGGAATTTGAGGAACTTCAAAAACAGTTGCAAGAACTTACCGACAAGGGATGTATTCGCCCTAGCTCATCTCCTTGTGGTGCCCCTGTCTTATTCATGCCCAAAAAAGAGGGTGGACTCCAATTATGTATTGATTATTGAGTGTTGAACTCCGTTACTATGAAAAACGCGAAACCACTTTCGCGCATTGACGACCTGTTGGACCAGTTGCAAGGCTCAGGTACTTACAGTAAGATTGATCTGAAGTCAGGGTACCACCAGATCGAGGTGGCTCCTGAAGATCAACACAAGACGGTTTTTCGAACCAGGTATGGGCGCTACGAGTTTGTGGTCATGCCTTTCGGTCTAATTAATGCACCCGCAACCTTCCAAAGGTCAATGAACGAGTTGTTTCGTCAATGGCTAGATCAATTCGTAGTAGTCTATCTCGACGATATTCTAGTGTAGAGTAAGACACTGGAAGATCACGAGAAACATCTACGAATGATTTTGCAAAAGTTGCGCAAAGGCAACTTCATACCGAATCCTAAAAACTCTGAATTCGTTAAGCCTGAAGTACTAAGGCCTGAAGAAAAGAAGATTACAACAATTCGAGATTGGCCCCAACCCAAGGCTATAACTGAATTGAGATTTTTCCTAGGACTTGCTAGCTACTATAGGAAGTTCGTTAGAAACTTCTCCTTTATGGTTACTCCTTTGAGGAGACTACTAAAGAAAGAAAAACCTTCGGTGTGGAACAAAGATTGTAAGTCATCTTTCAGAAAGTTGAAGTATGTTCTGACTCATTACCCCGTCTTAAAAATTGCCGACCCTTTTCTTCCTTTCATCGTCACGACTGACGCGAGTCAGTATGGGATTGGGGTTGTGCTATAGCAGGGTGACGGTAAGGGATATAGACCTCTTGAGTTTATGTCAAGAATACTTCCGTCAGAGAAAGTGGCCAACTCCACCTATGAAAGGGAATTTTATGCCTTAGTTGTTCCACTGGACACCTAGAAGCATTACTTGTTAGGGAGGCATTTCACTGTCTATTATGATCACTCTACTTTGAAGTGGATCAAGACTCAGACTAGACTCTCTGACAAATTGGTAAGATGGTCCGCTTTCATTGATAACTTGGAGTTGAAAACAATCAAAGGTAAGTCTAACGTGGTTGCGGATGCTTTGTCTAGGCGTGCAGACTTCTTTGAAACTATTGTCTCCTACCTCGATATCGGGAACAAACTGAAAGAACAGATCCGGAAGGGTTATGGGAGTGATCCTATTTGGAGTCCTGTCATTGAGACTCTACGAAAGAACCTTGAGTTATTCCCAGAATGTCGAGTGACTGATGGCTTACTCTTCTTTCTGGATAAAATCGAAGAAAGATTGTGTGTTCCTCCCCAAGAACCAATCAAAAGCTTAATCATTGGGGAATGCCATAATGCGGAAGGTCACTTTGGTTTTAAGAAGACGTATGATGATTTGCGTAAACGTTTTGAATGGAAACAAATGAAGGAAGATGTATTAACCTATGTGCGGACTTGTCTTGTCTGTCAAAGGAACAAGCCCTCACATGAGAATCCAATGGGACTATTGAGACCGCTGCCTATTCCAAGTGAGCCAGGTCAGTCTATTTCCATTGACTTTATGAGTCTCACTAAGAGTCGAAATGGCAGCAGTTAGGTAATGGTCATCGTAGATAGATTCTCAAAGTATGCTATGTTCATTCCTTTGCCTGCTGAAGCTAAAACTGAACTAGTCATCCATAAGTTTCAAATGTGATGGGTCTCTGAGTATGGATTCTCGAAAACCATCGTCTTTGATAGGGATGTTCGGTTCACCAGTCTACAATGGCAGAAGTTGATGGAAGTATGTGGGACCAGGTTGACCATATCGCCAGGCAGACATCATGAAACGAATGGCTAAACTGAGCAAATGAACCGTCTTTGCCAACAACTTTTGCGAATGTATGTCCGACCTGATCAGATAGATTCCTAAAAACTTGCCTAAAATTGCTAGTGCCTATAATAACAGTATACATTCTGTTACAGGTAGAACGCCTAATGCACTGCATAAAGGATGAAAGCCTAGGCGTCCAATTGACACCTTAACAAGGGACCACATTCAGAAGCTACCCCCAAGTACGCGTGAATTCGAAGTTTTGTATGAAGAAGACATCAAGAAGGTTAAGGAAAACATACAGAAAGCCCAAGTACAAATGGTTGAACAAGCGAATAAACATCGCCGACCTTCACAATTTATAGAAGGGGATCTTGTCTGGTTAAGTCTAAAGAGTTTTCCTTAGAAGAAAATATGTCTCAAAATCTGTTATCTATCTACTATGGCCCCTGGGAAGTTCTCAAGGTGATTGGAGATGCAGATGGACCTTCCTACCGCATAGATGTACCTCCACACCTAAGGACATACCCTGTCTTCCATGTGTCTAAGCTGCTACCCTATGTAGAAGGTGATATCTTTCCAAATAGGCCATCTATGTTTCCACCTTAATGAATGGAAGTTATGAAGTTGAAAATATATTGGAACATGGCTATTTTTCTACAGGTGGCAGAGGAAGAGATCTGAAGCAGTATAAGGTACAGTTCAAGTCCCAACCTCCATCTGAAGCTAGATGGTTTAGTAAGGAAGAAAGAACTATCTATTGCTCCTGACATCGTTGCTGCATATGAACGTGGGTTGGGTGAGAATTGATGTATTTCTGCGATGGAACTCGAGAATTGGGCCGGCAAGAATGCAACAACCCATGTTGTATGCCTCGTGGAAAGTTTGAGGGCTACGGGCCGCACTTAGACCCAGGCCGAAGGGGGGGAAAACACCCCACGTAAAGATTCAGGGCCTGGACGAGATACAATTGACTAAGTCAACTGTCGGACTATCCAACAGTCAAAGTCAAAGTGTACCCAGCCCAGGCCGCCGGTCAGACACACATTCGTTTGTATGCAGGTACCCAGACAGCATCAGGTCCAAAGGGAAGTCTGCAACTGTACACAATCCTGGCCCTCGGCTGTGAGTCAATCTGGACGACTGTGGGGGAGGGACCCGAGACTAGACAACCTCGTCAAATGCTACTTAAGGGCTGGTCTTTAGGAGGTCGATATTCAGTCTTTCAGTCTTGGTATGCTGCTTGAACGCTGGCTCGACTCTGACTGGTTGCTGGCATTGATGCTGGCACGAAGCTGGCGAGACGCTGGCTGAGCACCGGCACTGTGGACGACGACGCGGACTGTGAACAGCATGCTGGCGCTTTTTGTATTGTGCGCCAGGCATTGCTGACGTGGCGCTGCCACCTGTCTTGCTGATGTGGGCAGGCCATTTGTTTACATCCGATGTGGCGCTGCCACCTATCTCTACTGCTGACGTGGCATTGGCCACACTGTCTACGTGAGGTGACTGGTTGCGATGAGGAGGGAGATCGGGATCTGTGGATGATTGAGATCGGTACTCACCTGAGGTTGACGTCGTCACTATATTCATGGTCTTCACGAGATGGCTCTTCTGTGTGATCAAAACTTATCAGACTTGCTACTATTATTGATTGATGACGTGGAGGGAGAAGAAGCCCGGAGGAGTGGGAATGGTTGGGTTATTATTGTGCGGCCTTTAATTATCTCTTCCACCTTCTCCTTTGTCTATGCTCCCTCCACTCTCTTCGTCTATTGGTAACAAGATACTGTTGCAGATATCACTTCACATTAACTGGAGACTTTGTGCAGACTTTGAGACTACTTGTACTTGACGACTGATGAGTATCTTCCAGACAGGGGTTCATTACAGTTGCGAGTAAGGGGACAAAACTTAGTACTTACGGTCTTTCACTATTCAAACTTGGTTCTCAACAGAGTACGAAAATCAGAAAGAAACAGAACTTTGAACTAGACTACTTTCTAATTCTTCTATGAAAATTGAAGATTTAAACTATCAAGTTATTTAGATCTGGTAAGAACAGATCTGAGATCTGGCCAGGACCAGATCGAAGATGTGATCTCAGGTCTGACCAAAATCATCTCT